TTCCATGCAACTAGCATTAAAATGAACAGCAACAAAAAGCGTCCACTCTGTATAGGATATTTATTTATGTAGGAGAATAGTATAATATCAGTATGAGGGTTAGATGTCACACAGTTTCTTAAATTAAAAGCACAGTTGATGGTGATTAAATAGTTACAATCCTGACCCAAAAATTGAGATCCTGGGTGCAGTAATGCAGGCTGATCAGGCTCAGTCTTTGAGATAAGGTTAGAAGCTCTTATCTTAAAGAACATCTTGGAGTGGAGCTGCTGTCTGGCATCAGATGGAGACAGCTGGGGTGGTTTGGACCTCCCTCCCACTGGGGCAGACCAATAACTCCCTGCAGGGGATTATCAGTATGTACTCTGGCCTGGGGATGCCTTGGAGTCCTCCGGGAGGAGAAGGCAAATGTTGCTGGGGGGATGTCTGGCTGTTTCTTCTGGACCTGTTGTCCTTGTAACATAGATAGGTACATAGATACATACATACTTTAATAATCCCGGGGGGGCAAATTGAAGCATCCAGTAGCATTTACTAACCTGACCACTTCTAATTATTCAGGACTGAGAACACATCCTTGTGGGTCTCCTACACTCAGTCTGATGGAGTGTTATCTCTTACTTCTAACTCTACTTGTCTCTTGTATTTTTGACAGTAAGTCCAAAGCCATTTGATAAAAAGTTCAAAAAGCACAAAACAAAAATTTCTCAAGATAATTTCTTACAACTGTAATTCCACATTTCTATAAAAAAATACTCCACAGCTTATTCTAAAACAGTTGATGCCCTATTTAATGTGTACATGTTCCGCTGGGATTAGTTCTGGTTGTTCTTAAAGCCTTTGTGTCCATACAGTTGCAGAGTCCCAGTGCGGATGTTCGTGAATTTGCGTGTGCAAGCATTTCCCGGGTGGTGCAGCAGAGCCAGAGCATCCCTGGTTTCCTCCAGAGGGGCGCTGTTAAACGCCTGGGCCCCATGCTGCTGGACGGCAGCCTGGCTGTCAGAGAGACGGCCTCGGGGGCTCTCAGGTGAGTTAGCAGAGTGATCTACAGTCTCACTTTTACTTGTTTGATTTTAGCATACAAGAAAAATTGTAGCTCATTATAGTGGAAACAAGTGACAGTTGAATAAAATAAAAATAGGCAGAAATATTTAGTCACAGACTGATGCTACCTTTAAAGACAAAGAGACAGAAGTTCATCTGTCTGGTTACAAGTTGGAAATATTTGAACAGAAACCGTTTTATTATTTTACAGGATCATTTGCAGTTAGACAGTTATATAATGTAACGCCCTCCAAGATGAATAACGAACACAAGACAGTACTGAAAAACTTTGAATAACGAACACAAGACAGTACTGAAAAACTTTGCTGCACACATCTCCGAAAGCATGCTGCCCTCTACCCAGTGTGACGTGCAACTAAAAATATCGCTCAGACCTAAACAACATATTGAACATTAGTTCCACCCTGGAAACATTTTGCAGATCCTTTAAATGTGCATTTAAACAATAATGTATGTATTACAATAACATTTTATCATTAATTATTTTAACGTCCTTTTACTTATTTAGTTTAAATCTTATGAAATTTTCATTCAACCTTTATACAGGTTAGTGTCATTGAGCCACGAGAACTTGTTTACAAGAGACTGTTTTAAACAAAGAACACAGATGACGACAGTAGAGAATCATATAAAATGAAAAAGTAAATAGAAATGATGCGTTTTAAAGAGGAAAATGTACCAGTGAGAGCGTCTACGTGAAGTTAATAATGACCAGTTCACCAGTGAATACAGGGTGCAGTGATTGGTTCCTTAGTTACAGCCTGTTATGAATCTTATTGCACCATGATAAACAGCATCTTTCAAAGAAATTAACTTAAACTGCAGAGCTGCCACTGATGGCATCCACATACAATGTGCTTAGGACTCTCAGCTTTATTTAAAATTATTCATAATTTCAGAGAAGCATTAACAGGTTGCAGCTTTTCTAAATGTAAAATTGCCTTTCTCAGGAACCAAAATGTAACTGGGCAAATTGGTTTAGTATAAATAAATATAAAATTTTCATATTTTGTTAGTAATCTTTTGGATTTGGTGATTAAAACTGAAATTAAGAACTCATGGGCATCACAAAGAACCACGTTTTTAGTGCTAAAGTACATCTTTATTTGTCTATTTACTGCTACAGAGGGCGCCAAGAAATAAAAAAAAGGACAGGTTGTAAAACTATTAGTATTTTGATGCCTAAATGATTTGTGCAGTCCACATTTATCTATTTTTTTTTTAAATAAAAAAATATCTGGTATGAAATTATTCAATAAACACAATTAATAAATATTAATTTTAACACTTATTTGCCATTATGATTGTCACTGAAGTCATTTTCAATTTAATTCAGTTTATTTGTATAACACAAATAAACAAAAGTCTGTACCCTTACAATAAGGCTCCTCTTATAGATGGCTAATAGTTTATAGATACGTTATTAACTCATCTATAAACACTTTATAAATCATTAATGACTGCTTATTATGCATTAATTAAGGGCAAGAAAGAGACAAAACTGACCAGTTTCTTGCCAAATAGTGTGTCAAATCTGTTCACCTATACATTTCATCTAGAGTTGTTATATTAAACATTTCACACTGTTACTACCTTGTAAGCACAATAAACATTTGTAAACCTATTTTTTTTAGGATATAATATTAGTTGTAGATACTTATAATGCAGTGATAAAGTACATTATATCCTAAAGAAATAGGTTTACAAATGCTTATTGTGCTCACAAGGTAGTAACTATGTCTGACATGTTTAATATAACAACTCTAGATGAAATGTATAGGTGAACAGATTTGACTCAATATTTGGCAAGAAACTGGCCAGTTTTGTTTCTGTCACCCTTAATTAATGCATAATAAGCAGTTATTAATGATTTATAAAGTGTTTATAAAGGAATTAATAAGATACCTATAAACTATTTATTAGCATTTATAAGGGGAGCCTTATTGTAGTGGTACCAAAAAGTCATCTCCGGACACTACATAAAATAAAGAAATGGTCCAATTACAGTGAGTAAAATGTTCAGTACTAAAAGTTATGTCTGAATTTCAGCCAGCAGATTGTGTCAAATCTTCTCTTTGCTCCAATCCCCCATCGTGAGCAGCAAGGCTCCTGTTCATCTGGAAGAAACCTCCAGCAGAACCGAGCTCAGGATGGGAGGCCACCTGCCCTCTACCGGCTGAGGTTTAAGAAGATCACATACACAGTAAAACAGCTAAAGGTTCAGATGGAGTTTCTATAAATAAATTAAAAAAAAAAAACAGATCAATGGCAGCAATACTTACTATAGACAGAAGCTGAAAGGTATTTTTATTTATTGTCACAAGAAAGGAGCCTCACAACTGAAAACTCTGCCTCCCATTCTACTTTTAAAAACCATAGGAACCACAAGTATTTATTTATAAACCTGTATTTGGCCAGGCACATCCCACTGACAACACAGATTTATTTTGCAAGGGGGGCCTGGGCCTCAAGGCAGCCTAACATGCACGTGGAGAAAACATGAGGAGAACATGCAAACTCCACACAGAAAGACTCCAGGTCCAAACTGGGGATTGAACCCAGGATCTTCTTGCTGTAAGGTAACGGTGCTAACCACTAAGCCACCGTGCTGCCAAGTAAACCTGCAATCAAAGACCACAGTGCCCTGTTAGGAAAATATGGAGCAATAACCTCTTTATTATGAAGAGATAATTATATTTTCTCTCCTTGCTCTTTTTGTTCTGACTGTTGAACCTTGAGGCAGCTCCATGTCTCATACGTACAGCGAGCATCCTCGAAGCGACTGATGAGTGTGCGTCTGGGGCTGCCTCTTTCTCTCTTGTAGAAACCTGAGTGCATGTGGGGGTCAGGAGGTGTGCGAGGACATGGTGAAGCACGACGTCATGACTCCTCTGACAGCACTGCTTAGAGAGGTGAGACTCTGCTACTTTTAGCTCACTCCATTACTTCAGTTCCTCCTCATCAGCAAGCTTCCAAAATATCTGCTGCAATTAGATGTCATTCCAAAGCTGAGCCAAAAAAAAGAGAGAAATTTGCCAGCACGCTAGAAAAATAGGACCAGCTTTCTCCTAACGTTTGGTTGAGATCTTCAGCCATGAACAGTATATTTGAGATATCTCATTCAAGACCGAGTTATGTTTTATACAAACATTTGGACATTCTCATATAAATTATGTGCTTGTTTGGCTGATACCTCCTGCATATTTTTTCCAGTGTTGTTCTGGTTTTGATGGTGCTGTTGTGACGATGAAAGACCAGAAGAACCCAGTGGAAGATGTGGCCAACGAGGCTGTGAACCTGCTGTGGAATCTCTGGTGAGCTATTAAAAGGTTATGCACGCCGTTTCCATTAAATCAGTACTATCGTTACTCAGCTGCTCAGAAGATTTTAATGCATTTAGAATGGATCAAGTTAGCGAAGATGTAACTTCCAAAGAAATCAAATCCTATAGAATTATTTTTTAAATAAAATTGTTTGAAATGTTTTATTGGTTCCGATATGGGCGGTGGAACCAGAAGATATTGTGCTGTGAAAGTACCCACACTGAGAACATTCTTTTCATTTTTATGATACGACAAAGCTATTCTTTCCTGTAAATTATTGTTGTACTCTTGAGCCTTATTAGCATTTCTACTGTGAAGTTGCTGGTAGAAGTTATTAGAATTTACATCAACAATATGTATAATAATTGAAGCGTCAACACCAGGAGAAAAGGTTAATGTACAAGATACTTGATGTCAAAAAACCTAATTTTTGTCAAGCGTTCTATCATATTTTTCATCATATTTTATACTATTGTTTGTAATTGTGGGTGGCACGGTGGCTCAGTTGCTATTGCCTCTCAGCGTGAAGGTCACCAAATGGAATCCCAGTCATGGGCCTTTCTGGGTGGAGGTTGCATGTTCTCTCTGTGTTGCGTGGGTTTTCTCCTGGTTCTCCAGTTTCCTCCCACAGACCAAAAACATGCATGTTAGACTGATTGGGAACTCTAAATTGTCCCTAGGTGTGAGTGAGAGAGTGAATGGTTGTCTCATTTGTCTCTATGTGTCTCTGTGATGGACTCAGATCCAGGGTGTCCCCGCCTCTCGCACAGTGACTGCTGGATATGGGCACCAGTGACCCCCGCTACCCAAAAAGGAAGAAGCGAGGAAAGATAATGGATGGATGGTTGTAATTAACTATTAAAATAGGACTTTCTTAAAAAAAATAAAAAGCTTAATTTGTGAATACGTAAATTATTTTGTACTCTTGAGCCTTACATTGCCCATTGAAGGATTCACATTGAATGATTTCACAACTTTGTTCAGCCTCTGTGTGTATTAATCAATTGTTTTGAACTGTTTCTCATATTTTGTTGTCCTGCTAGTGAGAACAGCAACCAGGCACTGTCTGTGTTCAACAGATCAGCTCTCTTGGATGTGGTTGTCCAGTGTCTAGAGAGACACCCACTCAATGTGGAGCTGGCCATATCTGCAGGTAAGTCTAAGAAATATATATATATATATATATATATTGGGTTTATTGTTCTGGTGTTCTTCTGAGGAATATTTAAAGTAAAGAAACAGGTGTGGTTCAGGTAGATCAGTGGGAGAGTATGTTTTTGGTTTGTTTTATTGACTAACTCAGACCAGCTTGGCAGTAGATCAGTGTTTCAGACCGTCACATTTGTGACAGCCACTGTTAAATACTAGACATTGATCTCCTTAGAAAGGCCTATGGACTAGGGATGCACGATATTGGATTTTTCGCCGATATGTTAAAACTTATTTGGCCGATAACCGATCCCGATATTGTATATACGTTCCTTTGTCAGAACAGCCCTCTTATTTAGGCTTATTTGCTACAAAAAATTTTTCAACAGTTGTAAGAGCTGGTGACATTCAGTAACAGTCATATGATATGCATAGCACTTTGACTTATATTAAATGAAAAGTGTTGAATGTTATTTATTAGCATTAGTCACCTGCGATGCTGTCTCACTTGTGGAGGCTTGTTCCAGGTTCCTAGCTGCAGTGTGGGTTCCTCTGCACTCCTGTACATGAAGGAGAGCCTTTTTAAGTTCTAAGTTTTTCTATCCTTTGTGCCGTAAGACAAATCATGCTAACGAGGCTAACACGACGTCCAAATGTCTGTGGTAAAACTCAGCCAACAAGTCGTGCTTTCTGTTATTAGCTTCTCAACAACGTTGGAAATGACGGCTTGTACTAGTGTAACGTTACGTCGGAAAAATGTCTCAGACTGGGGACGATGTAGCGAGGCTCATCTTACTCCATAAATCTTCAGCATCCGACATCCTCACCAACAAAAAATAAAACTTCCACACCGCCAACATTTTGAATTTTCCTCTCCGCCGTGAGCTCTGGTAGGCGCACATGACGTCATTGCGTTGCGCTGCCGCTGCAACGTCAAAACGTGCTGCAACGTCATTGCGTTGTGCTGCCGCTGCAGCGTCAAAACATTGTGCTGCAACGTCATTGCGTTGCGCTGCCGCTGCAACGTCAAAACATTGTGCTGCAACGTCATTACGTTGTGCTGCCGCTGCAGGCATAGACATTGCCTTTTATATCGCAGAGTTATTTTAATGGAATTTTAATGCTAATGTCGGCCGATACCGATACCATGCTGATAATATTGTGCATCCCTACTAAGGACCGAAAGTTTATTCATTTAATATAGTTTTCCAAATATGTTTGGAGCTATGCAACACTTTTTTTGTTTTATTGTTCAGTGATCTGCGCCTCACATGAGACCTTGTTGTGCTTTATTTTTCTTCTCCGTTATAATTTTGTGTTACTGGGCATCTTAAAGTCAAGGATAAACCAAAAAGGTTTTGACTGAAAGTACTTCTGTCCGTTTGAATGGAGCATTTATGCGTTCTTGCCGTCTTTCTTACTGGTCACAGCTTTTTATTCCATTCATGTTCAATCCAATTTATTTATATAGCACCAAGTCGCAACAGAAGTCTTCTCAGGGCACTGAACAGAAACATTCATATATAAAACATAATTGAACATTATTTATCTGAGGAGCAGACTGCTTTGACTTTAACTTGATCGCAGAACTCTCATCCTGAGCAAGTATGAAGGCGACAGTGGAAAGGAAAAACTCCCTCATGAGGAAGAAACCTTTAGCAGAACCAGACTCGGGACAAGCGGCCATCTGCTTTGACCGGCTGGGTTTGGTAGGAACAGATACACAATGGCAGGACGAGAATCACGTTAAGATAGAAATAGTATCAAATGAAAACTGTTCAATTTTAACAATTAATTTAAGGAAATAAGGTCAATTTGTCATCCAGTAGTCTAAGCCTATAGCACCATAACAAACCAACCCTAAGTATAGAATTTATCAAAAAGGAAGTCTTAAGCCCAGTCTTAAAACTGGACAATGTGTCAGCCCCACGGACAGAAACTTGGAAGTTGGTTCCACAAGAGAGGAGCCTGATAACCGGAAGATCTTCTTCCATTCTGTTTTTGGAACCTCTAGGAACCGCAAGTAAGCCTGCAGTCTGAGAGCGAAGTGCTCTGTTAGGAAAATATGGAACAATAAAATCTCTAATATAAGATGGAGCTAGGTTGTTGAGAGCTTTGTAGGTTAGAAGTAGGTTTTTGAAATAAATTATGTCAAAATTATTATTTATTATTAATAGTAAATCTATATATTATATATACATTATATAACAAATAATTAGTATTCTGTCAGAATCTGCATTACTAACCAAACAAATTGACCAAATTCAAAATAATTTTCTATGATTTTAAATCTTGAAAACAACTACCAAGATCATCTTAATATTTTCAAGACATCATCTATCTTTTTGTCCGTCTGTCTGTCCGTCCGTCCGTCCGTCCGTCCGTCCGTCCGTCCGTCCGTCCGTCCGTCCGTCCGTCCATCCATCCATCCATCCATCC